ATTAAGAAAAAATCAATAAATTCGAACGAATTCATGGACGTGAATACTTATTATACTCGGTGCCCGCCAGTGACCATTAAAATAGTTTCGCCGAATTTACATTTTCAATTAATTCTATTTCATATAATCAAATTTCGTCCATAACATAACAATAACATAAAAAAAGCAAAACAGGTTAGAATAGACCAAATAGGTGCAATACACTTACGCAAAGTCAATCTAAATAAATCACCAAGAGATTTTTTTAACCAACCAAAGTAGGGCCTAGCAAGGACTAAACACCAAAATGTTACATTCTACAAACACTTACAGATTTAATTTATAAATTTCACCAGGTAAATTGTTCTGAAGTTGAATAATACTTGGAAAATAGAATTGAAATGAAAAATCCTCTCAGCAACAACTGATATTAACAAGAGTTTCAACGGAATACTAACTACAAGTAATACATTGTGGTTATAAATAGTAAATGTAATGATCAGAAATCATTTTAGTTGAGTTGAGTAATTTATAAAAACAAAATATCTGCATTTAGATGTCTACCTTATAACATAAGGAAGAAAATATACTGCATGTTTGAAATCTACCCTTTCTGAATAAGGTAGATATCTACCTTATTCAGAATAAATTATCTCTATGCTGAAGTCCTTTATGTTGTCTGATATATATTTGAACAGAGGGTCAGCAAAATGTAGAGGGTAACTACGAACCTCTAATAAAGGGAACGTTTACAAACTTTGCAGTGGAAACTCACTTAACTAAACCAAGCATAAGGTTTGCTTTAGAATTGTTATAATTATGTTAGATGAGAGTGGAGAATGTTGTCAAACCTAATTCAAGGTCCGATGAAACCATTAGGAAGAATTGAAACTGTTACCAATGATACCAAATGTCTGAAGCTGTAAATTAATAATAACTGATTTTAATTTTAGTTTTTGCGCACTCGTTTATGTCCGTTTCAATACATTACTTACTGTACATTACAAGAGGAAATGATGTGTCACTCTACGCATCCCAGTGATGACTACCGGTACTCATCGTAGGAACGGACGTCGTAAATTCCCATTACTAGACTTTATTGACATTCTGGTTACATTACTAAACTATCATTTTATCGTTTCCTTGAACCTTATTGAACTACCTGGAACTGTGCGTCTTTGGTTCACTTTTGTTAGATATACATACATACATACATACATACATACACACATACATACATACATATACATAC